GCATCTATGGCAAGCATCCTCAGAGGTAGTGAGGTCTGTTGGAACTTGGAAAAAGGGTTTATATATCTGTGGGATGACCAGGGTGGGACAAAGGACTCTTGTCCGCTGGAGCTAGGTGTGAATGTTTCAACTGACCACCTTGATGAACCAACCTGGACACAGCATATTATTTGAGAACACAGAAATGCTGGACCACTCTCACAACCACCATGTCAGACTACACAGAGAAGCCATTGAAATCCACAAGCATATGGACAATTTCAACAGAAAGGAGGAAACCATGAAAATGAACAAAATCTGGTTACCAGTGTTAAAAAACTCTAACTCTCTCATGAATCATTATAAAGCTTTTCCAGATCCTAAAACTTTACCTTCACACCACATAAAGTTTGGTTATCTCTCTTTTGCTTTGGCCAATCGATCATCTCAGTCTCTGAAGACTTGGCCTTTGTTTAGTTTACATTATCTTGGGTTGTTGTAGTTTTTTCGGGCCATATGGCCACATTCTAGAGGCATTCCTCCTGACGTTTCGCCTGCATCTATGGCAAGCATCCTCAGAGGTTGTGAGGTCTGTTGGAACGAGGGTTTATATATCTGTGAAATGACCAGGGTGGGGCAAAGGACTCTTGTCTTCTGGAGCTAGGTGTGAATGTTTCAACTGACCACCTTGATTAGCATTTGATGGCCTGGAAGTGCCTGGAGCAATCTTTTGTTGAGAGGTGATTAGATGTCCTTGTTTGTTTCCTCCCTGTTATTGTGCTGTTGTAATTTTAGAGATCTTGTTTTCCTTTGAAGCTTTTGGACTGTTTCATTTAATTTGGCTACAGCAAAAGAGAGAAAACAAACCTTTATCTGGTGGGAAGGTCAGGAAAAATGCTTTCCTTTCAGTTTTGGGATGTGGAAAAGCTTTATAATGATTTATGGGAGAGAGCTGCCTCAGTCGGGTCAACGTGGTTATTTTATCCATCTTGCTTTCAAGTGCTTTGAGTTTCATGTACCAAGTTTTTGCCAAGCTTAAAATTTGTCTATGAAATTTTCCTGCTGTCTTGTATAACAGATTAAAGTGCCTAGTTTCATGGATTTTATGTACTCATGGATCTTGTTTTCCTCTGAAGCTTATAGACTATTTTATATATTAGATTTTTTTTCCTGTTTTTGCTATTTTTTACTGCTTTGCCTATTTATATTCTTCAATAAACTGCTTGTTGATTTTACCAAGGTGGTTTGGTGTTTACGGTCACAGGTTTTCCTGATCAGGTGTACGACAGGAGCCATGGATAAGATATATACATATACATCGAGAAAAGTCTGAGGATCAAAATTACGAGTTGTGAAATAATAATAATAATAATAATAATAATAATAATAATAATAATAATGTAACATGATATAATTTTTCAATGAATATCCCATTGAGTCTCAACCAAGTTTGTGGCAGCAACAGAAAGCAAAATTTCTGGAGCAGAACAACTACTTTCGTAGTAAGGACCAAGTAAGAAATCACAGTTTCAAACCAACTCACCCGTTCCAGGGACTTGAGGAGGTTCTGCCTCTCTTTTAGCTTTTGGATACTGATCACGATTTTGTGCCTTGCGCCTTTGGTAACGTTCTGCAATAGCAATACAAAAATCAACATAGATATCAATACAATATTATAAACATTTTAGATGCAAAGAACACCCCCCCCCCCCAATTAAAATGATCCACAAGCCAGGTAACTTAATGAGACAAAACCACACAACACTTTGGAAGCCTGTCCTGTGTATTTAATATGTATTTTATAGCAAAGCATGTTAATATGTGTGTTTATAGAATTTTTTGCAAAGTATGTGTGTTTTGACTGTGCTGTGAGATGTTGCGAGCCATGAGGAGAGAAATAAAATTATTATTACTGGGTTGCTGTGAGTTTTCTGGGCTGTCTGGCCATGCTCCAGAAGCATTCTCTCCTGATGTTTCACCTACATCTATCGGAACCCCCCGGTGGCGCAGTGGGTTAAACCCCTGTGCCGGTAGGACTGAAGACCGACAGGTCGCAGGTTCGAATCTGGGGAGAGTGTGGATGAGCTCCCACTGTCAGGTCCAGCTCCTCATGCGGGGACATGAGAGAAGCCTCCCACAAGGATGATAAAACATCAAAAAACATCCGGGCGTCCCCTGGGCAACATCCTTGCAGATGGCCAATTCTATCACACCAGAAGCGACTTGCAGTTTCTGACACACACACAAAAACCTACACCTATGGCAGGCATCCTCAGAGGTTGAGGTGTCTGTTGCAAACTAAACAAATTAGGTTTATATATCAGTAAATGGGTGCAACTAGCTTTGTGTTTTAGAATAAGTTACATTTCAGCGGGGGTATTCTGGGAGTAGCTGTCCAGAAGAGTTACTTTTCCAAATTCTGTCTTCTATGGCCAAAGCAACCCTTAGCAGTTAGCATTAACTCACTTGAGCCTCGAGCTGACACTCGGTGAGGGCCATCATTTCGTCGTAGGTCATCTGGGAGAAAAGGGCAGCGTATTTGTGGAGGCGCAGACTTTTGAGCCAGGCAGGAACATCTACAAGTGGGAGCAACAAAAAAGAACATCAAAATTATTATCCTCTCTGATCCTGGAAGCTAAGCAAGGTCAGCCCTGGTTAGTACTTCGATGGGAAACCGCCAATGAATCCGAGGTGCTGTAGGCTCTCTTTGAAAGGAAAGATCTGGCAAAAACACCTCTGAGGATCTCTTGCCTAAGAACCAGCTATGAAATCATAAAAGACCAATAGATTATAGTGTTGTGAGAGCTGTTCAGCAGTGGAACTCTCTGCCCCAGAGTGTGGTGGAGGCTCCTTCTTTGGAAGCTTTTAAACAGGTTGGATGGCCATCTGTCAGGGGTGCTTTGAATGCAATTTTCCTGCTTTTTGGCAGAATGGGGTTGGACTGGATGGCCCATGAGGTCTCTTCCAACTCTAGGATTCTAATAGAGCAAAATAATAAACGTAATAAAAAGAATAATAATAACACAGAAAAATAATAAATAACCTTGACTTGACTATAAGCCGAGGGGGACTTTTTCAGCCTAATAAAGGGCTGAAAAACTAGGCTTATACTTGAGTATATAAAGTACTTTCTGATGCACAAAAGTTCCTAACTACTCTCAAATACACACAGAACATCGTTTCGAGCATTGCAAGCCTGGCCTGTCTATTCCCCCACTTTAGTATTTTTTAATTTTATGATCACAACAGTAAACTATGTAAAACAACTGCCTCATATGAATAAATGACTTCCTGGCTGTCCTACTAAATAAAGTTCTGGGTATTTTCATGCCAAAGTACCGTATGTGTCAATGGTGGGCCTTGATCCAAGGAGCTCTTGGATGATGAGGCTCTGGAAGCAAAACTCAGCTGAACCAACCTTTGGAAGGCAAGAGCAAGGACTTTTTGAAAAATTATCTGTTCCTGGTTTGAAAGTGTTGTTTCCTGTTTAATTGTGCAGTACTTAATGTATTGTCGAAGGCTTTCATGGCCGGACTCACTGGGTTGTTGTAGGTTTTTTCGGGCTATATGGCCATGCTCTAGAGGCATTCTCTCCTGATGTTTCGCCTGCATCTATGGCAATACCACTGAGGATACTACTTCTGAGGATGCTTGCCATAGATGCAGGTGAAACATCAGGAGAAAATGCCTCTAGAACATGGCCATATAGCCCGAAAAAACCTACAACAACCCTGTGCAGTACTTACTTTGAAAGTAGTTGTTCTACTCCAGAAACTTTGTTTTTGTGGCTGCCACAAACTACGTTGAATTGGTTGAGACTTGATGAGATATTCATTGAAAAAATAGAGCGTCATTTGTTGCAGGATGTCCCACAAAAAACAACGTTTTTGCAGCTTAATAAACCTTTTCCATGTTTTTATGGTAGAATCAATTAGGAAATGGCATTTATAACCCAGGAACAAAAATTGTGTCACGTGGCACAGTGGGATAAACTACTGAGCTGTTAAACTTGTTGACCGAAAGATCGCAGGTCCGAATCCGGGGAGTGGTGTGAGTTTCCACTGTCAGCCCCAGCTTCTGCCAACCTAGCAGTTCGAAATATGCAAATGTGAGTAGATCAATAGGTTGATCTACTCACATTTGCATGGAGCGGCATTACCTTCCAGCGGGAAGGTAATGCCGCTCCATGCAATCATGCTGGCCACATGACCTTGGAGGTGTCTACGGACAACGCTGGCTCTTTGGCTTAGAAATTGAGATGAGCACCAACCCCCAGAGTCGGACACGACTGGACTTAACGTCAAGGGAAAACCATTACCTTTACCTTAGTGTAACTGAGTCAGAAATCATGAGCTATGGCCATCTAGTAGTCCAAGCTGCAGCTTAAATACTGAAAAACGTTGGAAAATGTCCCAGTGCTTTATTTCTGGCGTAAAGTAAGCATTACAAATTATTTGACGTAGTTAGCTTGATTAACTTCATTTTGACAACTGTTGGCATGCATTGTTTTGCTAAACTGCCATGTGTACTATGCTAGAAATGCTGCAATGGCAATACAATGTGCTGTTATGAGAACATCCACCTAAACAACAAACAAGCTCTATTTCTGGGTTGCTTGTAGGTTTTTTCGGGCTATATGGCCATGTTCTAGAGGCATTCTCTCCTGACGTTTCGCCAGCATCTATGGCAAGCATCCTCAGAGGTAGTGAGGTCTGTTGAAACCAGGAAAATGGGTTTATATATCTGTGGAATGACCAGGGTGGGACAAAGGACTCTTGTCTGCTGGAGCTAGGTGTGAATGTTTCAACTGACCACCTTGATTAGCATTTGATGGTCTGGCAGTGCCTGGGGCAATCTTTTGTTGAGAGGTGATTGGATGCTTGCCATAGATGCAGGCAAAACGTCAGGAGAGAATGCCTCTAGAACATGGCCATACAGCCCAAAAAAAACCTACAACAACCCAGTGATTCCGGCCATAAAAGCCTTCGACAATACAAGCTCTATTTCTATTTTGTGCTGCTCATGTATATCTCAGAAAAGGAACAGCATGGCATGTATGTAGTAGCTATGGTTTATGCTTCTCTGCCTTTGTCTAACTCTAAAGTGCTATAAGAAATGGTTGCTTACCTGTAACCTTGTTTCTTTGAGTGGACATCTGTGAAATTCTCACATAAGTGAGACTTTCTCAGAGACCACAAAGAAGAGTTCATCCCCCTCCCTCCTGACTTTCCAAAACAAAAGGTAAAAACTTGGCTCTTTGAGCAAGCTTTTGAGAATGCAGCGGAACAGATAACATGAAATAATGAATGATGAACATGGAATGGCCAGACAATGTTAATGGAAAACGATTTTAACAAGATGACATCGGTGACTACATGTTTTAATGGTTTTAATATATGTTTTTATATTGTTATGTTGACTATTTTTAATCGCACTTTTATGAATGCATGGCATCAAATTGTACCAATTTGTAACCCGCCTTGAGTCGCCGTATGGTTGAGAAAGGCGGGCTATAAATGTCGTAAATAAATAAACAAAATAAGGAGGAGTGGTCGCTTACCTGGATCTGTATTTTTTTGAGTGGTCATCTGTGAAATTCGCAGATAAGTGCGACTTTCACAGAGACCACGAAGAAGAAAATAAAGAAGCTTGGAATACATTTTCTCTATCTCAGCCAATGCTGTGAGTGAGTCTGACAAAGTTATTGTTGTGTTGTTGAAGGCTTTAATGGCCAGAATCACTGGGTTGCTGTAAGTTTTTCGGGCTGTATGACCATGTTCCATGGCCATGCGCCTATGGGTGAAACATCAGGAGAGAATGCTTCTGGAACATACAACCCAAAAAAATTACAGCAACTCAAAGTTATTGTTGTTGTCTGCTGCCTTCTGCTCAGTTTCATGGCTCATCCCAGCTTCATCTTCCGCTGTGGGGCTGATATAGTCAGTATAATATATTCCTTATTTACACACTTATTATGCTCGAGCTTCCATTTATCCACAACTATCTAGGCTGTCACCACAGAATCACAATGGAGGACCTGCACATCTACGCTGACCACTAAAATCAGTTTCAAACCTGTGCTGAAGAAAGTGGTTTCACTGTGCAGATTTCCATAGGGTTTTCTTTCTATTACATCGGGAATCCAGGAACCAGTTTGAGGCCCAGATTGTGATGACACAAAACCACAGAGCACTGTGGTTTCTTTTGTGCACTTTCCTGGGAGTTTGTTATCTAGCCAACACAGTTTTGTGGCTTTGACTATTTGCATATTTAATTAAAATGTTATTATATATATAATGTGCGGTGGTGGTGGGAGTGTGGAGGGATGGGTGCGTTGTATTGTGATGTGTGCTGGGGAAAGCATGTAATTTCATTGTGCAATAGTACAATAACAATATAGCTATTCTATTCTATGTTGTCTCTGGAAATCTCTAGAGATTGAGCATAGATGGGGCCCTAGAGAAGTATTCTCCCTAGGAATGTCTAGGTCCTACTCGCTGTACGACCTAAAGATTTCCAGAGATAATATTTGAATCAAAACCTCTAATCAAAACCACAGAATTCAAACCCAGAAATGTAGATGGTTTGAAATTACAAAGAAATTAACAACAGAAATAGTTAGCGGTTTTTGACATAAGCTGAGCTTCTTTCAAAAGCGGATAACTTTATCCATAATGATTATTACAAAGGCTGGGTGGCCATCTGTTGGGGGTGCTTTGATTGTGCTTTTCCTGCATGGCAGAAGGGGATTGAGCTGTGCGAATTACTCTCCATCCATCTGCCACTGATCTAGCCCATGCCTGATACACACACACACACACATCTATATATATAAAAATGCAATGTTCGTTTGTGGGATTAACATAACTCAAAAACCACTGGACAAATTGACACCAAATTTGGACACAAGACACCTAACAACCCCAATGAGTGACCATCATTCATAAAAACACTGAAAAACACAGTAGAAGAGACTTCAGAAGCCAAAAATTACATTGCAACGCATGCACAAAACCACATATATATACACAAACGCACATCTATACTAACATATATGCATGTACACACACAAAACACATACACAGAAAGGAGGGAGGAAGGAGAGAAGGATGGAGAGAAGGAAAGAAGGAAGGGTAGACAAGGAAG